CCAGGGTGTCCACTTCTGGGGAAAAAACCTTTCATCTGGTCGCTGAGGATCCAAAATTTTGCCCACCTCAAGATATTTCAGCCGGTCTGATAACAGCTGGTCTAACAACTTCTCCCTACAAACCTTTCATTTAGAGGATTTATGAGGCACTCCAAAGGGAGCCAGAGCAAGGATTACAAAGCCCTGACCACATAACCTCTATGTAACTGAGAGGTTCTCAGTGTGGCTTTATCCAGCACCTTTGGAAGGAAGAACATCCCCTTCAGGAGAAGCCCAGCTCCTCCTAATGTTGTGTAGGGGACAAAGGGGAGGTGCTTGCCATGTGGAAATTGTTCCACCAGTGCTTTTGGGGAGAGTGTATCGGATCTCAGTTGTTTTCTAGAGACATTAATCAAGGCTGAAGACTCCCAGTGGCGTTGTCAGCAGCAGAACTTGGCTCCCAAATGCTTTTTAAGGAGTCCATGGCCATTGAGCCTTGCACTGGAGTGTGCTCAGACTGGGAAGGTGGAGTGTTGCATAGAGGTGAGGAGAGGAAAGAGGCAGAGGCTCAGTAGGAGAATCTGGGTAGAACAGCTTGGAGCCCAGCTCTGTATTTGGTATCTCAGCTATCCAGTGGTGGGGCCTTTAAAACACAAACAGATAGTTTCAGTTCATGGCCTAACTATCCCACACGGAAAAGCAGGAGCAGCCGAGAGTAGAAGGACCAAGAACCCTGGTATATGGAAGTGATGGTCATCTGTTCTCTACGGTGACCTCATCTTAATATTTAATAGCTAAATGTGTGGATGTTTGGTTTAACTGGTTAAAGTTTCTCTCAGAGCTTTTTTCCCCGTTTATCTAAAGTTAAATTGAGAAAAATATGGAGAGATTCCACTTTTTTTTTTTGTTTTCTAGACACCGTTTCAGCTTTATGAACTGAAGGAAGATTTTTTTTTTTTTAATGCCATTAGCAAGAAGACCAGATCTCAACACCTTCCCTCTCCCTGCAGCCCTGCAGGAGCAGTCCTTACTCACGGGTAGATGTACCGGGAATGAGAGAAAAGACGGTGGGGAGCTAAGGGAGCGGCAGCCTTTGCTTTCTGTAGTAGGTGCTCCTGGCAATGCAGCAAAGCAAGGTGAGCCACCCTGAAGTCACTGTGAGGACAATATCCAGGCCTTCTGTCTCACGAAACGAAATGCCAAAAGAGGTGGGGAAATTTGAGGGAGAACGAACCGTGGTAACGTGCCTGGGTAACTGTGTGAACCGTAATTAATGATGGAGGGCAGGCTAATGAGATAAGGGAATCTCATCTAACAAACTCATGAGTCAAGCAGGATTTGGGAAGTTTCACAATTGCTCCGTTGGTGCGTGGTGTTTACTCTGACCTCTCTTCAGCTATTAATTGCCGCCTGATAAACCAAACCCAATAACAACATTAACAGACCTGCTAATTACCACGGAATGGAGATGAACTCCTCCAGAACGTATAAAGGAGAACTTCCATCACCCCCACCAGAGGAGTATCCTTCACTCTCATTTCTCCTCCTATTTTACAACCTTCCTCACCTGCTCTCTCGCCTTCTCTTAACGCTCTGAAAGTGACGCTATGAGCCAACACTTCTCCAGATTTGGAGATGGGAATTTCAGTTCTTCTTCTGCCCACTGTGGCACGCTGGGTGGCGGGAGAAGTTCATTTGCCACAAGCCTTTATGAAGGCAATAGAGGAGAAGGAAGATACAGTGGTTACGGGTACGGTTATGGCAGCAGGAGTCTCTACAACCTTGGTGGGTTTAGGAATCTTTCTACTGGTGGAGGCTACGGAGGAGAAGGAATAGGGTATGGGAGGTGCCTGGGATTTGGTGGTAGGAGACATCTTGATAGAGGCTTTGGTAGAAGAGGATATTTTGTGAGAGCTTTTCAAGGTGGTGAAGCAGGGCTTGGTAGCATATGTGGAAGAAGCTCAGGCAGGGAGGTACTTGGAGGAAGCCTTGGTAGAGGTGCCCTTGGTGAACAAGGGGCTGGACAGGGTTTTGGGCAGCCTGGTGTCTGCAGAGGCATCGAGGAGGTCCATGTCAATACCAACCTGCTGAGGCCAATACCAATACAAGTTGACCTCGAGTTCCAGAGGGTGCGGACAGATGAGAAAGAGCAGATTAAGGCTCTCAACAACAAATTTGCATCATTCATCGATAAGGTGAGTCCCTGCTCTCTTTTTCTGTTATCTGGGAAGGGGGAAATATAAGGGGTGCTGCTCTGTCTGAGTTGTGGGGATACCTTTACATTGCATCTTCTCGCTCAACAGTTGGCTCGATTCCCTTGTGCTGGTGTGAAGTTCTTAATAGCTTGCTCTAAACGCCGCTGCATGAACCGCTTACATTTAGCCCTGGGATAAGTATCTCTGAGTTGTCTTTTGTGGCAGGACAGTAACAAACCACTGGGATGTCACAGACACGTTAACTCACTTCTCTTTTGAGGAAAAGAGTTTCTGCGTGGCTCGTAATATTCTGGTGCTTGGGAATTATTGATGCTAGCAGGAAAAATGGGCGGTGGACTTGGACATCCTTGATGTGTTCTGTTTCTTTTCCTCAGGCAAAGCAAAATGTTGCGTTTCTCTAAATTACAAACCAAGTTACTTCTTTGCTTGGAGGTCCTAGCCTCTTTCAGGTGGCCAGTGGCCCCCACATCTTTCTTCTTCACCTCTTTCTTGGTCCACACTCCAATACTTTCCCTTCTGTCTGCAGTCCTGTCTTCTCTTTCATTTCCACTCATAGACACAGGAACAAAACAGCCACAAAAACACTTCCACCCACGCAGACCTGACATGTGCCTTTCTTCGGGTGGTGACATGCCTCTGCATAGGGTGGAAGCTTGTATTATTTGTTACACATGAAGACTTCAGGGCTTCTTGTGTTACTCTACAGAAAAGGGGTTGGTTACACCCAGAAGTTTCAAGTATGCCTAGTCCTGAAAAATAGGATCACCTTTGACTCTTTGTTTTGTTTTATTTTTGAAACCTCCTGGATGTCAGCTTCCAGGATATAACCTGTTCAGTGTCCCAGCTGAAGAGACGCTACCCCTCTGGTTTCCAAAAACACCAGCTCTGCGTGTTATAGGTCTGACCTTTTTCTCTAAGGCAAGGTATATCTAGGAAGAGAGAGGTCCTGTGCGGTCTTCTGCGAGGCCGCTAGCTCTTCTCATGTATTTGGGTGTCTAAGGTACTTCAGAAACAACTGAAGTCTCTCTCCATCTGATCTTCCCCCTAAATATTGTGCATTTAAGAGATGAAAAGCCAGCAAAGATTTCAGTGTCAGCTTTGAGAAACAGCAATAAAATCATACCCTTCTTATGCAACAGATTGGGAAAACACAAAGACGTGTCCCCCATTAGTCTAGGCTGTCTCATGTATTGGTACTGGTGTTACTGCTGTTGGTCCCACCCGACAAAACCTCTAAATGTCGGAAATATTAATTAGGATTTGTTTTGCTCTAGGGACCAATTCTGATGCTGGTGTTTCCCCCAGAGCTTTCCAGGGGCTGAGACACTCTTCTGCTTTGCCTTTCAGGTTCAATGTCTTGAGCGGCAGAACCAGGCTCTGATGGCCAAATGGGAACTTCTGCAGCAGCAAAGTACCCGACCGGAGGAGAGCAGAAATATCACCTCTTTCTTCCAATCTTATATCAGCAACCTGCAGAGGCAGCTAGAGACACTCCAGAACCACAAGGAGCAGCTGGATCCGGAAGCGTATAACATGCTTCAGCTTGTTGAAGATTATAAAAAGAGGTGAATAATCGCAAGTCTGGGAAAAACCGTGCTGGAGTGTTCCAAGGCAATGCTAATCATGCCTTGGCATAGCTTAGCTTCACACCTTCAAGAGTTTTGTAGCCTTTATAGCACCACTCTGCAGAAGGTTCGTTTTGGGACTTGACTTTGATGCTGGAAGACTAAAGCAGATTTGGTAGAACCCAGAGCAGTAAGAGAAAAATCACAGGCCCTGGAGATCTATCCTGCTCTTCTCTCCTCCTGTCCTCCTTGATGCCCTTCCTCCCCCAAGCAGTGAGTAACCCAGGACTCTTGCTGGGAGTTGTGGTCAACCTGGACAGTGGGGAGGGGAGGGACAGAGCTGAGCAGCAAGTTCAGGTTGAGAAGAGTCGTCACTTCTTCTGGATTAGCTCCACCCAAAAGATAATACACGTCCCCGGCTCTGAAATACAGGAAGTTTAGTTCAGAATTGCTAGGTTGTCAGAAGCGACGTGTATCTATCCGGTTTTGCTGGCTTAGCGCACAGTTTTGCAGGGGGTTTGCAGTTGCCTTTGCAGTGGCTAGAAATTGCAGTTGAATGAAAACTTGACACATTCCCTTTTTGGATGATTTCCTTTGGTTTCTGATCCACTTGACTGAAAAAGCAAGACAGGCGATGAGCTACCTGTTTCTTTTCTCTGCTGCAACAGATTCGAGGATGAGATCAACAAGCGTGCGTCTAAGGAAGAGGAGTTTGTGGAGCTTAAAAAGGTAAAGTAATCCAAGACATTGAGCTAAATCAAAGCAATAACTGGATGGTTGCTGAGGTTTTCAAAAGCCAGGTCCTTGCTTAACTTTGTCTAACTCTCCTCTAACTGAAGCACTGGAAAACCTGAGCTTTTACTGCAAGACTGGAGAGAAATCCTTTCCTCTAGAGACTGAGTTGGTCCTTTGTAAGATGAATATCTAAAAAGTGCTGGTCTTTGTTCACTCAGTCACAACCTAGACGAGGCATTGTTATTAGACAATTAAATAATGTCTATAGGTGGCTTAGAGAATGGAAAATTAAGACAACTTTTTATTAGACAAACTAACCAAGTCTGTTTCTACATTCTACTTGTCTACATTTTCTCCAAGAGCACATTTATTGCCATAGCTACTTTGCTTATTTCCAAGCCATTCTTTTCTTCTAAGAGTTAAAAAACTTTCCCTTTGTTCCAACTGCTTTTCAACTGAAATCTGAGGTTCCTGGGCCATTATTTGACTCCAGGAATGAAGGCTTTAAAGAAATGTACCAAGTCTTGCAAGAATTGCACTTCACTGAGGAATTTGGATCAAAGAAGTACAATTATGCCCACGGCTTTTTTTACAGGAACTGGACAGCGCCTACATGGGAAAAATGGAGATTGATGTTCGGGTGGAAATACTGAGGCAGGAGCTTGAGTTCCTCAGATGCTTACATGAAGCTGTGAGTATGCTTCTCAGGTTAAAAACTTACCCTCAGGTCTTGAAGGACATGTGTCTTTTGGAGGCTCCCAGAAATTCTTCCTGATCAGGACTTTTTGGTGTGGAGAGTGGATCATCCTTGGCCTTTGATCTTACAAAGTCCTTTTTCATCTGTGAATGAAAAGGGGGTCTGATGTGTCACAAAGGCTGGAAGAGACACTTGAAAATTAAAACTGGTGGTGGGACAACAGGACCTGGGGGATGCAGGTAGGGAAGTTCCAGTGGGCAACCGGCCAGAGGGTCCCATTTCTTTCCTCATAACGTGACCTGGACTGATCATGTGGCCTGTTAAAATCCAAAATCTTCTTTTCCTTGCAGGAGCTGTCCCAGCTGCAAACAGTAGTTGGCAACACCAGTGTCATTCTGTCCATGGACAACCACAGAGAACTGAACATGGATGGCGTCATTGAAGAAGTCAGGCAGGAGTATGAGACAATTGCTCAGAGAAGCAAAGCTGAAGTAGATGCCATGTATCAGGGCAGGGTGAGTAGACACCAGGAAAGGGAGGCAAGTGTGTCTGGTCAGTGGAAAAGAAACCAAAAATGTCTGTTCTCTTCTCTGCACATCAGTACCAGGACCTTCAGAACATGTGGGTAAATCAACGTGAGCAACTGAGGAACAGCTATCAGGAAATCCAGGAACTTACCAGGCAGATCCAAAGACTACAGCCAGAAATTGAAATTGCAAGGAAAAAGGTAAAGCTGATAATTTCCAACATGACTAAACTATTTAAGTCACTTCTGCACGGGGACTCGGTGCACCATAACATAGCCTGTCCTTTGGAAGCAAACCTAGAGATGATGTTTTCTCTTCAAAATGAAGCCAATTTAGATTTTGGCTGTCTGCATTGGGATTGGATTTGGGCCAATTTACCTCGTCTAATGTGTCTTCTGAGTTCTGTCGCTGAGGCAGGTCTTTTAATTTCCAAGTACTAACAGAAGGGTTTGAAAATCCTGGTCGCACGGACGGGGAATGGACAGATTCTCTTTGTGCCCTCTGCAGAACACCAGCCTCCAAGAGACCATTAAAGATGCTGAGCAGCGCGGGAGCTCCGCCATCAAAGACGGCCAGCAAAAGCTTCAAGAGTTGGAAAATGCCCTGCAGCAGGCCAAGGATGATCTCACCCGCCTTCTTCACGATTATCAGGAACTCCTGAATGTGAAATTGGCCCTGGATATTGAAATCGCCATGTACAGGTCACTCCTTGAGGAGGAGGAGACCAGGTAGGTACAAACTGTTAATCCTGGATAGAAGCCACTGTTCAAAGCAGTGTGTCCCATTCTTTGATCTGTCTCCAGGATGAATTGCTGCCTGGAAGGAGTGACTTCTTTCATTGGCTTACTGATAGAGTCTAGCCTGACTTTTACCTTTATTGGATGCATTATTTCAATGTCACTTTTCTTTCACAGGATACAGGAAGGGTCACCAGCCACAATCTGTGAGTAATTCAAGACTTTGCTTTGCTTTGCTTTTTAAGAGCACTGTGACCATTTGTTGTCTGTTGCACTTAACACCCACCATCAGAACAACCTAGCTTAGCTCCCATCTTAGTTTCCTAGGAAAATGAAGCAAAGTGCAGTCTCTTGTAAGTGTGTGTATGAACACACCTACATATGCATTAATACGTCAACGTTCAGCTACTGACTTTGGAACGTATTGGCTAAGTTCAAACAAATTTGTAGGAAGTGGGAAACACCTCACTTATTCTATAGGTCTATGCGGTGCATGATAGAACTGAAGGAAAAAACCAATCTAGTAATAAAATGTGTGGAAATAGGAGGCCAGCAGAAGGAGAGAGAAACCCATACTCTTGGCCTTCTGAAAGGAAGGGCTGCACTGAGTGTTTGTGCATGGAGTAAGATGTAAGTCATGTTAAAGATAAGCTACTAAAGCCACAACCACGTGAGAAAACATTCATAGGTACATCTGCTAATGAAGTTCCCTGTTGCCCCTTTTCGAAGATATGACGATGACCACTAAACTACAGTGTTGGCCATGCATTAGTACTAATACCAGCTGGGCATATAATTTCTTTGGGTAAAAAGAATAAGCTGGACATAATTTCCATTTCTTGCAGGTGTCATTGACCACAATGCGAGTGCTACTGGAGTCTTTGGAGTGAAATCTGGAGGCACGAAAAGTGGGAAGGGAGGGCTGAGCTCCGGTGGTGCCAGCAGGAACCGATGGAGCGGGTCAATGTGTGGAGGAGGAAAAGGTGGAAGCCCTGGCGAGTGGGGACCCAGCTCTGGAAGTGGTGGGATCATATGTGGAGGAGGAGGAGGCTCAGGATATAAAGGAAGAGGAAGCTCAGGCAGTGGAAGCTCCATGTCTGGAGGTGGCGGCAGCTCTGGTGGGTGGGGATCCAGCTCTGGCATTGGCGGGTCCATTTGTGGAGGAGGAGGAAAA